AGCTGAAGTTTTTATACGATAACAATGAATATCTAGCAAGCCAAATATCAAGTTTGCATAAAAAAAGAGATACTATCGTTAAAAGATGTATGATTGTATGTTCTGGGCTTAACTACAATGTTGAATGGTTTCTACGTGCTCACCTTTCACAAGCAGATATACGTAAAGTGTGTTTCTTGAAATTAAATGTATGGAGGCGCTATTATAGTTGCATCATGCCACACTATGTAATAATTTTCTATTTTATCTCGCACTATGTAATAATTTTCTATTTTATCTCGCACAATGTAACAATTTTCTATTTTGTTTCGATGGATAGTACATCCCATGTCATGACACGTACCGCTGGCTTTTCTCTTGCTCATTTTTAGCAGAGGTAGTAACCACTATCACTAAGATTGGTGATTATTATCCTGGTCAAAACTGTAGATTGGCTTGGAACGAAAGAAAATGGCAAGGTTTGGGATGCTCATCAGTCCTTTTTAATTTTTCATTATTTTATTATTTCAAAGGGACTACTATAGTCGGGGAAGAAAAATTGAAACAGAGCCAGAACAAAGACAAGATTTTCTTAAACATCATCAATTATTGCTATTAAAAGTACGATTTTGCACTGAGCCGTTTCATTATACTCTCGTTAAATTCTAGGGCTTTTAAGCCTGTTTTCTTGGTGTTTCTGTATCCGCTAATCCCTTGGAGTAGGTAAATTTCTGTTTCTAGTCAAATTTTCAAGTCTGTAATAAACATTTGCTGGTCTCGTCTTGCCCCGTTTCTTAAGTTGTAAACCTTCAATCCTCATGATGTTTTGACAAAAGAAGGGGTACCATGAATGCACTCTAATACATGTTAACTAAATTGACATCAAGAGATTTCTAACCAGAATAAAATTTATTCCATTTGATGAAATTTATAAATTGTCAAACTTCATTTTCAATCAGACAGATCCACAAGGCTGGTCACAATTTTGAAGATAATAACATTGTTTAGTACAAGCTAAATGCAATCATGGTAAAGTCATAGGTACTGTGGTCATTTTGTATTACCATTTAATATATCATATATACAAAATTAGGCATTCTCCGAATAAACATGATATTACCTTAATCTTGTGCAAAGACCAGTTCTATACGCAACATCCTCAATCAATGAAGCAATTGACGGAGTCACACTGTCTGCTACCCTAAACTCAGACAATTCTTTTAAAGAACATGCATCTGTTAAAAGGCTTTCATTAGCATACTTCCTCATTCATGTAAAGCATCTTTGGCTAATCCTGAAAAAAGTAGTACTTGGAAGAAACTTTTAAGCTTAGACGCATATTCACAAGCTTAAAAGTAACTTTTTTCCAAACCCTTTTTTAAAGTCTTTGCTTACTTTTCTTCAATTACATTTACATTTTTTAGGCTTTAGCCGAACATTCTCTTCCATATCACACCAGTCAACTGGGGAAGGATTACAAGCATATGTTGATTTCTCATTAGCAGCCTGATCATAACAATTGTAACCCCGTCCATGAACTCTTCCGTCTTTAGTAGAAACAAGCGTGTGACGCTGTCCACATGCAACCAGTCGGAATCACCAAAACAGGTATATTGCGAAGAATCATTTCAGATTCATACGGAGTGCAAGAAAACACTACCCACAAGACATCTTCTGATAGAGCAACCACATGAAATGCTCCACAAGAAACTTGGCGAATAACCTGGAATGATGAAATTTGGAAAAGAAAATTGCAAACAACAATACGCTAGTAACATTCTCAATAATTATGGGGTTTGATACATAAATCATTTTTTCACCTATCTGTTCAATTTATAGCTACATCACCAAAAATTACAATAAGGGAAAAATTCACAATTAAGGTATTAGGTATTGACTATTCAATTCTCGTGTCTAAAGTTTTGAAACTGAAAAAATCAGGTTTTCATTTTTTAATTAAATATATTTTATTAATTCAAAATAATAAAGTCACATTTATACCAATAATGGTCACATGTTCATAATTATAAGTCTCAAACTTATTTATTGATCACGTATCATCAAGTTAATTGGTCACATATTATTTCGAGGACACAAATCAAAAATTTTATACGTCACAAATAAAAAATTTACAGATCACAAATTATTTCGAGTCCAAATTACTTGATCACAAATTATTTAAATTTTTAGGCCAAACTAAATAGTTGGTCATAAATAACCAAATGATTGGTCACATAAGCCAATTTTCTTGATCGCAAACAATTAAATCATTTGTAACCATCACCATCACCTGTGACCACCACCACCAGTCGCATAATCTTCAAAACCACCGCCACTAAAATCACACCACCACCATCTTCAACAGTCACGTCATCTCAAATATTGCAACTAGCACTACCTCACCACAAACAAAACAGACACAAAACCACCACACAATCGCCGCCTACACATCAGATAACCACCACCCACAGATCCACCCTCACCACAACACCACCAGAACCACCGCTAACAACTAAAATGACCATCACCACACAATCGCCGCCTGTACCACACCACTACAGAGATTGACACCACCACCGCCAACAACAACAAAATGACCACCACCACACAACCGCCACCTACACCACACCATTACACAACCATCACCTACACCACACCACACACAAATCTGCCCCCCCAACACAACACTTCCATAACTGCCGCCAACAACAACGACAAAACCACCATTACCACACAACCGTCGCCTGCACATCAGATAACCACCTATAGATAAAAATACCTACACCACCGCCTTATCAAACATTGAAATTCCATACATAGGCTGACCCACCGGCTTCAACTCTGAATCATGACGTAGAATTGCTTCAACAGGGATATGAGCATGTCGTCACCGTCACCACATCCACGTAGAAGCCAAGCAAACACAAAGGCATCGGTGAAACCACGAATCGCCCCGATTTGTATACATCAACAAAACCACAAATTCAGGCATAAAGGTACAGATGCTGGAATTGCATGCCGCTCGTTGCTCCTAGGGACGAGCTCCGATGTGGTCTCTAATGACGGCGACCATATGTGACGGAGATGATAAAGAGACAGAGAGAGACGACGAGAAGAAGAGGAAAATTAGGGAAGAAAATAGTTAGAGTTTTAATTGGGTGGATGGAATATGGTGAGATTATATAATTGAAATTTATTAATATTATTATATTTATTAAAATATAAAATTGTTACCTGATTTTTGCATAAATAAATCTTGAACCTTATTTTTGAAATTCAATATTCAAACACCTGTATAGATGTAATTTTCCCTTACAATAAAATCAAATTTCTTATGATCACATCGGGCCATTTTATGTTGAGAAGTAAACTTGATTTTGGACTAAGTAATATGGGCTTAAAGGTTTTAATCATAAACCTAATTCAAAAGTCCAACAAAACCTAACATTTCTATAAAAATGTCTAGAAAAATCTACGTAAATATCTAAGTACAAGATGTGGTAATAAATTTTGTCATGTGTCAAGAAGATTATGTGGTTTTGAAAACTCTATCTAAAATATTCTAGAAAAGTATCTAGTTCAAAATATATGGTCTAGAAATCTCTAAGAAAACGTGTGGACTAGAAGTTTCATGTAAACTTTATATAAAAGAGTGTTGGGTTTTTGATACCTAATAAATTTCGGGCTATAATATTAACGTGGGTTAATATTATTTCATAGGCATAAGTCGATGAATGAAATAAGTCCAACAACCAAGTCCATGAGCTACACCCAGCCCAATTGTATTCCCCTATGAATGGCTTGAATTTTGGCCCGTTTACCCCTTTAATGGTCCAACTTAAAGCCTAACCCTAAAGTATATATTTGGTTATAACGTGTGTAATTGGTGATTCCTTCATAGTATACCTTAGTGCTATCTTCTCCTAGCCTTTGTGGCCTCAAATCATCATCATTTCTTGTCCTACGTGGGTAAGATTGAATAGCAACCAAAGTGATCAATTGGTTGTGGTTTGGAGTCGATTGGACTGGTTGTTGATTGAGAAAGGTGCATTGGACTGAGCCCGAAAATCACCGATTTGAAGATCTTTCAAGAGAGCTTCCACAACAATTGGTATCAGAGCTTCAAGGTGGTGGTTTTGGCTCGTGAAACATACCAAAAAGTCCAGAAATCGCAGCAGAAATCAGATTAAAGAAGCTGTCCAAAAACTGTCAAAATTAGTCTCTTTTTTTCGCATTTTCTGATCAATCCAGAAGGAGTTTGAGAAAATAAAGATCACTGGCGTAACGTGCAGATGGAGAAGAACCCTGTAGGACGGCGCATGTCAATCAACGGCGACGTGAGGAATTTCAAGGAGGTCCCTTCAGGCAGTTTGTTCCTCATATTATTTCTGACATTTTTCGTGTTGAAAGTTTTCTATTTCAGGGTACACAGTAGAATCTGGACAGCGTTGTTCTTGGACGTTTGGGACTTGATCGTGATTTTTTGGTTGCTACAGTTTTCAGAGACTTTAGGACGAATAGTGGTAGTCCTAAAGTATTAAATTCGCATGTCTCATAAATTACGAACCTTCAGACGTGGTCCGCTGGGTATCGTATTCTTTGTTTTTTATTATTAGCAGTTAAAATAAATGTGTAGGTTAATTATTTATTTTTAGCGTTAAAAGTCATCGTCTAATGTGACGTTAGGTTTGGGGTTACCGTGAAGTGGTAACCATTGCCTGTTGTTAGACATAGGAATTACATGTTAATTAATTGCCATGTGAATTTGTCACCAATACACCGATAGAATTGCATGAGACCTCAGAAAAATTTACTTGACTGTTCTGTGTGAATTATGTGTCAGTACTTTGCTTGTGGTCATTATTTGATATTGTTGGCATGTATAGGTCTAAGGCAAGTGCAAAAATAAAATATGTTTTAACTGTGGTAAAATTTGGGCATAATTAAAAGAGAATGTCCTAGGATGATAATAAAAGGATAGAGATGAGGTGAATGTGACTTTAGGGTCGAGTAGTGATCCTAATTATTTTTATTGAGAGAATAAACTTGGTTACTGCATCGCATCTGTGTGTAATCCTTTCTACATGTATATGATCACTTAATTCTATTGCAATGTTGATGTTACACTTTCAATATGTTTGATGTGTGTAATTGCATGAATTAGAGTGATTTATTACTTTGTGTAATATGTTTATATGCATAGTGCGTTAAGTTTTATGGCGTACTCTATTTGCTCTGTGAGTGGTGTGAGAGTGTGGTAGTGAGAAGCAAGTTGGGCAGCCATTTCTCTCCTTTATCTTTGTGAGCCTGTGTGGTTTGTAAGATTATGTGATGCAGCCATGTTAGGGTTATATTCTTCCTCTTTGTGAGGCTTCTTTGTGAGTGTTGTGAAGTAACCGACTCTTTCTTCAATTTTTCTTTGTGATTGCCACCTTCGCCATTTTCTTTGTGGATTTTTTGGAGCTTTGGTGATTGGAGTAACCTTTGTGGTCACCGAAAGGTGTTGATTTGCCATAGTGAGCTTGAGATGCATTAGTAGTGAGTTGGATGTCTTTTTGGTAAGGTAGAGTACAGATGTCTAGGGGTACATGGTGGTTTGTACCAAGGATGTGGAGTGTGACATTTGGATCACGAGTGGAGATGTGATCAAATGTCTAAAATCCTTTATCTAAAAAGAGACCCTGATCAAGTGGAGTATGAGAGAGGCACTTCTATCACTTCTGTTAGGTGGAGACCCATTATCCACGTAGGTTGGGAGAAGTGATGTGGAGATAGAGGATTATCCTGTGGATTTAGGATCTATTGTGACTTGCCAGTTAGATATGAGTTGAGTGATCTGTCTAGTGAGTTTGGTGGGCGATAAGAGGAGATATGTGTTCTCGAAGCGTGAGCAACACGGAATGGGATAGGATAAGTGTGGTGAAATCTTTTCCTAGGGTCATTTATGCATGTGTTGCATATGTGGTTGACCATGGTTTGATTGACTTGGTGTTAATCTATGGTTCTATGTGAACGTATTTCTGAAAATATCTGTGTGTTATCCTATTGTATATCGTCATCGCATGTATATTTGCTCTTGATTGTTTACTGTTAAATATTTACTTCTATTTGGGTATTTTTTGACCTTAGCCCTAATGAGTACATGAAGTAGGTATGGTATGTGTTTCAAGTTGAAAACACGAGGTAAGGTCTATGATCCAATTTTATTGGCTACCTTGATTATGCAAGTGTTAACTGTGTGTTTTGATTGCTTGCAGAATTATTGAGTATCAAGGTGGAGATTTGTTGGGTTTTTTATACCCAATAAATCTCGGGCTATGATGTTAACGTGTGTTAATATTATTTCATAAGTATAGGCCGATAAATGAAATAAGTCCAACAATCAAGTCCATGAGCTACACCCATCCCAAATTGTATTTCCTTATGGATGGCTTGAATCTTGACCCGTTTACCCCTTTAATAGTCCAACTTAAAGTCTAACCCTAGAGTATATATTTGGCTATAACCCTAGCCACTTTCATATAATGATTGTGTGATTTTGAGAGAAGAAAAAGTGAATCCCGGCTGCACCTCTTTGTGTGAGAAAAAAGGTATCCAGAAGTGTCTAGAACGTTTGTGTAACGTGTGCAATTGGTGGTTCCTTCATAGTATACCTTAGTGGTGTCTTCTCCTAGCCTTTGTGGTCACAAATCATCATCTTTTCTTGTCCTACGTGAGTAAGATTGAATAGCAATCAAGGTGAATCAATTAGTTGTGGTTTGGAGTCGATTGGACTAGTTGTTGGTTAAGAAATGTGCGTTGGACTGAGTCCGAAAATCACCGATTTGAAGATCTTTCAAGAAAGCTTCTGCAACAAAGAGTAAGGTCTTCCATTTTGTAACAAGCCAAGTGTATGAGTTTTGAAGGTGAGAAGTACAAGTTTCTTTTTTGTTAACTTCTTTCTATTAGTTATGTCTTTCCTAAAAGCCTTAGCCAATCCAAGCTATTAAACCTCTCTGTCCTCCAACATTTTAATTTTGATCCATATCTTCCTCTTATAACCTTCTCTACCTGGATTATTTTGCTCTTATGAATGGAGTTTTTTTGGGTCTAAGCATGACATGTCATCGACATATAAGTTGTCCCATTTTTAATTTTTCTCTATTGGTCAAACGACTCAAACCCCCACTTGTTTGCATATATATCATTTCTTATTTTATTCATGCTAATATAGTCTGAAACACTGTATTTTCATCTTACAAAAATTCTAACATGAAGCAATTCACCAGCCAGTCCACCAAAGCAAAACTTGTCAAATAATAATTGAGTTGAACTTGTCTTTTAATTTTGTAATGACAAATTTTAGACAAATACAAGATAATAATGACTAGTTGTTGCTCTTTTAATCGCATATTCATGAATAGATAATTTTTATCAATTTTTTAACCACATATTTCATTAACTTTTATCAATTTCAATGAAAATATGTTTTTAGCAAAATAAAACAGGGACTAGGTTTGGTCCCTATTTGACAATCAGTTTTTGAGAAGAATGAGTTATTGAATAGTAAGTTTCTGTGAAAGTTATAAAGTAGGAAAAAAATTTGCATGTTCGTCTTCCTTTGAGATAAAACTCTTTATCTCATATATATTTTTAACCATATGTTCACACAATAAAATATTTTGAACCTAAATCAAAAATATTTTCGCTATTTTTCAATCACGTGTTATCCAAAAAATCAATATTCAAAATATCATTTTTTTTTTTTTAAGTAATGGCCATCAAATAAGAGTTTATTGTGTGAATATATGATTGAAAATTAGTATAAAAAAAAAGAATTTTGAAATAATGGTTACCAAACAAAGACTTAGCCCCCGTTTTTTTCCATTATTTGTCCATTAAAATAAAAAATATGACCATTATTTATCACATCAAAATGCTATATTTGATTTTCTATTTTTTGTGTGGGATCCGTAATGACTATATTTTTCATTCTCATTCTTATATTAATGTGGCTCAAACGGGCCTTAATTTAAGTAAAATAGAGCTTTAAATTTGGGTAACTTACAAAAATACCTTTAAAATTAGAAGTGTTTTGAAAAATCATATAAAAAGTTTTTTGGTAGTAAAAAATACTGTGTAAAATTAAAAAGTGACATAATTTCACTTTTTATAAAAATTGTGTCACTTTTTCACATTGTGTGAAATAAGTGACAAACAAAAAGAAAGTGACAAAATTAAAAAAAGTGACACGAATACTCAAAAAATGACAACATTCAAAAAAAGTTACATAAATTCAAAAAAAGTGACAAACACCAAAATAATACATTCCATTTGTGTAGCACCAATAATAATGTTCTTAACTTATTCAGCATGTTCAGGACAATCCACGTGAGCGTAGTATCGATTTTTAACATAATCAGCATGTCCAAAACAATCAACATGTTGATTATGTTAGGAAAATACCACATACTATGTCACTTTTTTAAGAAGATAGAAAAGTGACAAATATTAAAAAAAAGTGACACAAACTCAAAAAAGTGACATACTAAAAAAGTGACAAATGCTAAAAAATAAATTCTACAAATTCAAAAAAAATGACAAAAATTAGAAAAAGTAACAGAAATTAAAAAAAGTGACGAAGACTAAAAAAATTACTTAAAAAAAGGAAAATGACAAGAATAGTATGATGATAATTAAAAAAAGTGACGATACTTAAAAAAGTGAAAATTCTAAAAAAAAAACAAAAAAGTGACCAAAATTTAAAAAAAGAAAAGAAATATACACTAAAAACTGACAAACACTAAAAAAGTGAAAAATTTAAGAAAAGTGATACAAATCAAGAATGTGACAAACAATTAAAAAAAAAAAAGTGACAAAAATTCAAAAAAAAAATGACAAATTCAAAAGGTGACACAAATTAGAAAAAGTTACGCAGATTAAAAAAGGTGATAAACACTCAAAAAGTAACAAAATTTGAGGAAAAAAAAAGTGACGGAAAATAAATAAAAAGAAAATGATAAATCATAACCTACAATTTTCAATATAGCCAAATTATCCAATAAGTTCACAACTGTTTAACAAATTATAAACTTTTGAACTAACAACTTGGACAATATAATCATAATCCAAAAAAAAAAATTAATTAATTACAACCAATTTTCCAATAAGCTCACAAATAATGAAAATTGATGACTAAACTACAATGTAAATATTAAAAAATTGTATAAACACTCATCAATGTTAATCGAATAATATCATTTCTGAAATCATCCATATAAAATATTTTCACCCTCAATAATCGAAAGGTATGAATTTCATCCTATACTTCAGTTCCTTCTAATCCAAATTTCATCAATGAACTTAATAGGGAATTAAGCATATGAGTATACTTACACAATGTCAATTTTTTATTAAAAAATTGTCACTTTTTTATATTTGTTTAAGTGACACGACATCTTTTTTTCTTTTTTTTTAAATTTAATTAACATAAATGATTGCTATTTGTATTCCACTCTAGGTTTGGAAACCATGTTCCCATTCATTAGTTGTACTTATTGAATATCAATAAATGCAATCCTCATTTAAATTGGGATACAGCAATGTGTTTAAAGCACATTGAGTAGAACTCTCTCATAAAACAGGTTTGTAAGCAGATGGTTTTAAACTAAATGTAAAACCATAAACGTAATCTTATGTTTGAAGTTTTCACAAACATACAGGAGCATTTGAAATGCCGGGATTCATATTAGTCTGAAGAAACCAGCCTAAATTGGAGGGGGAAAGGCTAGACTAGAATAATTAACAAACAGCGTAGGGTTTTTTCAAGATGTATAATTGATGCTACGAATTCACATGGCAACACAAAATAAAACTTATTTCAGGTCAATTAAACTTTTTCCACCCATTAAAGCAAGAACAGAAGCATAACCAGCAAAATATAATCACAGGACATCGAATCCCTAGATCTATTTCCCAAAACAAAATAGCAAATCATGTATGTTAATTAAATTAAATTGGCATTTGCAGTGTGAATATTCCTTGAAATTTCTCTCATAGTTGGTAGAATTATCAATACTTGCCCACATTAAAAGAAGCGAGGTCGATATGCCCAGAGGGTGCGGCAAAGGATTGCGTCGGATGGTGAAGCTGCCATAGACTTGTGAGAAAGTCCCACTGGTCGGTGAAGGTGCCGCTGTGTACTGCTCTTTTCTCAATAACTGGTGGTTAATATAATGGAAATGGGAAAAAAGTTGAAGAAACACCAATCAGTTCTCTCTCTTAACGTTCTGGGAGATTTCAGACGTATTAATTACGTTCTGAATTATTTAAATTGGTTTAAAGTGTAGTATTCAATTTTGTTCCTTATGGGCCGTACTGGGCCTAATTTCCTCTTTAAATTTTAGGATTGAAAGGTTTTAAGAATATGGTAAAATGTAACTGGCGTTTTTAATATATTTTATTGGGCTTTTTTGAATCAATAATCTTCAGGTGAAATAAATCGAGTCACCCAACTATTTTCCGCTAAATCCACTTAATGGGAATCGGACGTCCAACCACCTCAGTTGATCACACCCTTTGATATTTTTAGACATGTGGAAAAATTATCGATTTCAAGTGAAATCCCTAAGTGTACGTTTGATTACGAATATGAAATATAAATGAAAAAAACAATTCTAGATAATTCAAGTATAAAAATTATTAATTAAAT